CAACACTTGTATTGCCCCCATGGTATGGTTCCTACCCCAACACTTGTATTGCCCCCATGATGTGGTCCCCCACCCCAACATTTGTATTGCCCCCATGATGTGATCCCCTACCCCAACACTTGTATTGCCCCCATGGTGTGGTTCCTACCCCAACATTTGTATTGCCCCCATGATGTGATCCCCTACCCCAACACTTGTATTGCCCCCATGGTGTGGTCCCCTACCCCAACACTTGTATTGCCCCCATGGTGTTTATGGTTTTGTCTGGCTGTGGGACCCTTATTAATATTAAGGTAGGCCTGCTCTTCTTTAGTCACCAGCTTAAGGAAGAGAGGGGATGGAACTGATCAATTTCACACAGATTTTTCTTTCTCTACTGTCAACAATTTACTGTTATTTAGGTACGACTTTCAGCCGACTCTTTATGCACCAACAAAATCTTAATTATATTGCAAGTTTTTTCATATGAATAATGACGGTAATTTCACATCCTGGATATTACTCCAGACCACTTCTTTGAAAGGGTGAATATAATGTATTCAAGGGGCAACAGCTTCAAGTTGAACAAGCCACAATGTATGGCAGAAAACAGGAGAGGCTTTTTACCTGTAGGGTTTTAAACCTACCCACTGAATGTGTAATTGCCAAGGCAATTCAGGACTTAGTTTAAAATGCAATTGGATAAAATCCTCGGGAACAATGGGGAACCTTTTCAAAAGCCGCCAACTTTATTCCCACTGAGGCCACTAGAGACATAGTGGCCCTCGGGTAAATATATAATCATCATCTATAGGGCTATTACTCTTGGTACACTTTTTTTGTTTTTTTTGTTTTTTTACATTTGAACTATATCAACTAATGGTTACTCTTAATTGGATGTACTTTCTGCAATTTATTCATGCTCTTATCTCACCCCAGTAAAGGCAATAAGTTGCATCTAAATACCTGTACTATACTTCAGTTCTATCCATCAGACTCAAAATGCTCTCTTCTATCTACTTGCAATTAATTACTCATCAGTGAACAATCCCTTATCAGGCCATTCTCATTATTTGACGAGTGTAAAATTTGAAATGGTTTCCCTTAGCCAGAAGTGTTGGGCAATGTGGTTGCTTGGTTGCTTTGTCTGGCTTTGCTAAATATTTTGGCAAGGGGGGGGGGGACACTCTTACAAGCGACTTTTGTTTAATGGTGTCTGCATTTCATGATAGTAAGCTCCAAACACTTCTTTCAACATTTTCATTCTTTTATGATAAATTTATACGTGTGTAGAAGGAAGTATTTGGAGTGCCCCCCCTCAGAGATGCAGGGAGTGGTGTCATTTATTTTTGCCTCCTCAATGGGGTGGCAAAAATAAATAACACTAAAAAGTCGAAACAAACTACTGCTGAACTCAAAAGACACAAGTCTGAAAATCAGCTGAAAAAACTCCCCCAACTATGTAAACAAAATATCAAGTTCTCTCGGTTCTATCTTCTTGAGGTTATTTCGAGATGATTTCGGGGCTTTTAGTGTCCCCGCGGCCCGGTCCTCGACCAGGCCTCCACCCCCAGGAAGCAGCCCGTGGCAGCTGACTAACACCCAGGTACCTATTTTACTGCTAACTACTGCTAACTTACTAAATCTAGAGCGATTTCATTTGTTACTTTTCTTGGGGGAGGTGGGGCGAATGAGCTCTCATTAGTTATAAGAAAATTTGATAGTTTGTTTACATAGTTGGGGGGAGTTCTTTCAGCCAGTTTTGGGTCTTCAATCTGTTTTTAAATCCAGTAGTAGTTTGTTTTGACTCACCGACTTTCTGGTTGCCTTACCTGGTGAGGTGGCAAAAATAAATGTCACTGCTCCTTGCAACTCTGCGAGGGGGGGGCCAAGTTCTCTCTCCAGTCCCCGTTTGGCCTTCAGAACTCTTCAGCTGATGTGACCCAGTAGATGGTAACCATCTTGGCATTTAGCTATAGGAAGCCACCAGGGTTCACCCAGAAATTGGTATTTCATTACATTCAACACTGGTGTTTTACCACATGTCTTGTATCCACAGTAACCCAAAATTAATTAATAGTTAATACTATTGCTAATACTCTCAAAATATAGGCCCAACTTTGGCTCTGTATTCCTCACAATGAGATAAATAATTTTAGGGGACTACAGTGGATGTTATTCATATTAAATTTACCTAAACATACAGTATTTGAAATCTAAATTTTCACAGAGGTAAGTTGTGCCTCAAAATTTGCAATGGGAAATGTAATGCCTCAACTCTCAGTATCGCATGTATATGTACTGATGATTTTTTAATCTGTCTATAACCATATACTGTACAGTAATTATAGAATGTAGAGCAAAACAAATTACCCAATAGCACGCTGACATTAACAGCCAATGAGTGACTGCAAATGATTTTCACATTGAGCTTCCAATATATACAGTGTGAACAAACACCTACCCTGAAAATAGAAATATTTCTGCATAACTTGAATAATAATATATTTCAATTAAATAAGCAAACAGAACAGGTCCATGTAACAATGTAAAGTTGTGTACAATTTACACTTATTCAAACATACATGAGATACGATGATCTATACTGAAGAACGATTCACTATTTTAACATTTCTTTAAATTGATGACATCAGGCCATATTTTAATATATAAACAGTGTGCAACAAATGGCAAAATTCCGTAAATGATAATAAAATACCCATATTTACAGTGATCTATGACATTATACAGTTCATGAATACCATTTAATGAATAATCAAGAAGCCATTCTTTACTTTGACATGTTTGTCCAAGTTGTTCCTTTCAAACTAAATCTTACATTTAAAATATGGTCAAATATCAGTTTCCAATACTGGGCGGTGCGCCACGTCCAGAACTTAAAATGTCGGAGTGGATGTACTTGTTTGTGCTCAGTTGGCAATCATAATAACTAACAATTCAATTATATATATCTAAAATATTCTATCATTGTAGCCAAAAACATTACATTTTATTGTCACATGCTAGACTCGCTGATCCTGAAAACCATATAGTGGGATTGTTCATCCCTGAATGCCTCGGGCACTCGATATTTTCTCATGACATATCACGTTCTTGTGACTTCCACTGTGTAATATAGTATCTTATCCTTAAAAAAACATAACATTAAATAATTATAATAGGTGCAATATAGAGAATTATATACGTAAATTGTCTTTGATACAGCATGGTGAGGGAGCAGTTATATATTACAAATACAGTAGATAAAGACCATAAAAAGCTTTGGGAATCCTAATGTAAGTAAAAGTACTGTACTGTACTAATAATGAGATCAGTTTCATAAATAAAGATTTTTACCTGTTATTTTTTCCTGATAATATTTGTAATCAGAATATAAGTAGAATATCAGCAGCTGGCATTTATTAATATAGACATATAACATTTCACAGAGAAGTAAACTTACAGTACTGGGTTTTTAAGTTAAAGTACGCTATGCGTGTTGGTGGCTTTGCGAGGATATACGACTTAATCAGCAAGATCTGTAATAAAAAACCCGTGTATCATAGTACTGTATATAAATAAAGAATAACCTTGTCATAAGTAATCATATTATAATCAGTTATAATAAAGTCAGGATATTGCCACAGGGCTTGAAGGACGCGAGATCTTTCATTAATAGATACACAATTATGGGTCAAGTCGATCAAAATCTTTAAAATAACAATAAAATCGTATAACTCCAATTCCCAAATTAAATGAGTGACGTTGCTTTGGTTCTGGATCCTTAACCCTTACACTGCTACAGCCTGGGCCGTAAATGGGGGAATAAGCTTGGGCTGGATGAAAATATATTTGAATTATGTGAAAATTAATATTAAATGTTAAACAAATCTCTAACTTATTGGCTTTAGCGTCGTGAAAGTTTCATCCCAATATTTTCAGAAATGGATTTTAGACAATTTTTTTTTTTTTAAAGAAGGTTTTGTTGATAAGGAGAACAGCTCCTATTAACTGGAACCGAGGTATAATGCAGTAATAAGGAGATGCAAGCACCTGTCTGATGCACAAAGAGGAAGAATAGTAGTTAGAAGTGCCCACAAAGTAGATATGCAGCTGGTGCTTTTATAGCATTGCTGAGTAACACATAACACAAATAATAATTAGTAAGTATGTTATTATGCTCTATTATGTTATATATCATACAAATTCATTGTTCAATAGTAATACCTGTTACTTTCACCAATGTCCCCAAATTTGTTTTTTAGGGGAAATTTTTTTTTTCTTTTGCTCATCTGATTTTGTTGTAACGTCTACATCTAGGAGAATGAATACTTTTCCATAACTATGTGAAGAAAGAATTAAATTAGTCAACAAATAAATGAGTTATAACTGTCAGAACTTGGGACTTTGAATTTTTTTGGCTGATTTTTTTCACAGATTTCAAACTCTATTTTCCTTGTTTCTTTAGATTGTTTTGATGATTAGGGACCAGATTAGGGCTTTTTGACTTATATAAAGTATACCCTAAATATATACCCCAAATTCATTATAATTATTATAATTATCCCTATATAGTTTTTTTGGGGGGTTATTTTTTTCTTGACTTCATTTCAATACATATTGACCTACAACTTCCACATATTTGAGTAAGAATACCAAGCAATGTTTATTAAAACATACAAGTAAATTAATGAATTAGAACTACTTTATACATTGTCGATAACTTCAAATTCAATTATCTCTAAAACTAGAGTTTCAATACACACAGAAATCACAATAGCATGATGCATCAAATGAACAAATTCACAAGGGCTGTGACGAGGATTCGAACCTATGTCCGAGAGCATCCCAGACGCTGCCTTAATCGACTAAGCTACAATATGGTAAAAGAATTGAAACCAGAAATTGTACTGAACTTACTTGGATCCTGCAGCCTCTCCGAGAGTTACCAGTTATATCTAATTATATCTGACTCTGGTTTCAATTCTTTTACCATGTTGTAGTTCAGTCGATTAAGGCAGCATCTGGGATACTATCGGATGTAGGTTTGAATCCTCTTCACGGCCCTTGTGGATTTGTTCATTAGAGTTTCAACATTGAGTCAGCTTCAAAAAATTCAGTTTCTGACTGATTCTCACCATTTTTACATATAGTGTGCACCACTGTCTGTTCTACACTCCTAATAGGATAGATTTTTCATAAACACAAAATGTTTTGAGTTATAAATTTTGTTGTCTGAATTTGGTGCATATTTCAAATGCCATCTTGACGATTTTTTTTACAGTAAACTAAACTGAAAATCTATATTCTAAATCTATTAAAAGGAAAATCATATACTATTGAGCATAATAACACTTAATGAACAATTGGCGATATTTATTATTTTTGCAGCTGATCTGAAATTTTCAATATTAAATTTTATTATTTTTAATTTTCTTGTTTTTCAAGTTACGTTGATCATCATTTAGACAAAGTTGGAGTGTTTGCCTAGTAGATGATGCACAAAATTTTGAAAGAGTTAAAGCAAGTTTGAAAAATTTAACTTATGGTACCATCAGGCCCCTGGCGTATATATATGCCATGCGCAGTTTAAGGGTTAATAAATCGTAAGAGAACAAGTGTTTCTCAGTTACGACTTGCTTAGGGTACAGGACAGACTGAAAACCTCATCACTTTTAGTTCATTTGATATGTGTGGTTTGAGTTGTATTATAAGCCTTGTTATTGTGATTTATTCTCTGCAATAAAAACTTGTTTATATCATTGTTTATTGTCTACAAACACACGCACACATACTCTTGTTTTAGTGTAAGGTCTGTAATACCTAGTAAAAATGGCACACATCTCTTAAGCAAAGTACAAGCATCACATTTCACCTTAGCTTATAGTGTGAATGAAAGAACAAGGCGTTAGGCAATGTAGTAGTGTCCAGTCCCTCTTCCAGCTTTACCTACATACACTCCAATGTTCATAGTCTAATTGAATCGTAACATATTATTCAGTACAGTCCTATGCATACATCATCCAAAAGTTATGAGATAGCTAAAAGTACTAGATTCATTATTCACATGCTAATTTTGAGTCAAATGAAGAGAGAGCAATACCAAATGCCTGAAGAGCACACATGGGGTACCGGTAGTCCATGGTAAATACGTCTTCTGCTACTCGACCAAACTGCATAATGATGTAGTCAACTGCAAAATTACAAACATGTGTAAGAGAACAGCAAAGTATATTCTATAACTGTAATTAGTAACAAAATATACAGAATCTTTAAATCCAATAAATATAAACTATATTCAGTAACATGTACCACTATTAAGATGGTGATAATTTTTAGGAACACTGCAAGGATGTGATTGTCAAGGTAACTAATACATTATGCTGGCTAGCAACCAAAACCCCCAAAAATGTATTCACCTGAAGTCATACACTAGATTAAAAACATCTGCAGTACAGTAGATGTGAGTAATATTACTGTGGAGTTTTATGAAATTTGATATATTAAAATAGTTATTTTTCTTTGTGCCAACATCCACTTGATATTGTAGTTGACTCTCACAGTGCTCTCCCCGAATTGTATACTCCTTCACATCCCATGATGATTGTAATCCAATATTAGCCATTTCTCATCTTTGTGTTGTTTCGTTGGGTTCTCAGTTATGTTTTTGTGGCCTCCAATGATCTCCGGGATGCTACTGCTAATGGAGCCATTCGTGCTTGTCCCACCTCATAGAAACAAATTTCTTACTCAGATTTCAACTGTGTCATTTATAAAACAGTGTACAACCACTGGAGAAAGAAACGGTTACCAATACCAAATAAATTTTGTAAGACCAAGTGTGTTTCTTGTCAGAACTGGAAGTGGGAAACATATGACTCGATTACATATTGACTACACACAAGATTAACTCTTGGGCATTTGATGGACCAGGAACCCTGAGTCATATTGTTAAAGCTGCAAAGTCCTGCATACAGTCACTCGCCTCTCCTGATTTTCAGAACGAAATGCAATTTTGCTTTCCCACTGTTCCTTTGAGTCATATGCCCTTTGACACAACTCTTGGGGAATCTGACTCCTTTGTTATTGCTTGTCTTATGTCTTTCTGCATTTGTGTTGGCATTTTGAACGATATTTAGGAACTTTTGAATATTCCATAACACAGCCAGCTTTATGGTTTTCTGAGTTTGGTTCTTTATTTTGATAATTCTGTATTCATAATTTTTTTTATTTATATAATGCTAGGAGTAAAAAGTGAGGTCACTGTCCTTAAACATTTAATTACAGTAGGATCCTGATTTTACTGGGATATTTATTCATAGACACACAACACAAAGTGCGTAAAATATTTATTTTAATTACGTATACAGTTCTTAACAATATTAAATAAAATACAAGCAAAATAAACGTTGACTAGACTTGAAGACAGGTGAAACAACACTGCTCCTGCGACCAAAATGTCAACTCTTGCACTCTCACTTTTAGTATTGTATCTATTTGTCTCTTATTTTGTATTGATATGTTTATATAAAGTTTTGAGTACTGTATTTTACAAATTTGATTTTTGAATATTAGCAAAGCCCAAATTGTTAAGAATGAAATTTTATCATGTCGAATCGAATATGTTCTCAATTATTTTAAGTGTAAATAGATCGTGCTGAATCACAACTATAATCAGGATCCAACTGTACTAATAAGATACAAAATAACCAACCATCACTTTCATGGACAATCTGAAAGTTTTTGACGGAGGCCTGAGTGACACGCCCATGGAAGTTGAGAACATAACTCTGTGTGTCGTCGTTCCATACTGGTGTCTTGTTACACAACTCAATTAGCTGGTCCATGTTCTTAGTCTTCCATCGCTCTGAAAGTAATGCACTTGTATTTATATATAATATATATTAATCATTCCATGTCCTGCATACCATGAAATTATAATCTGTCTGTCTAATGGCTCAGAAGGTATATATTTTTGGTAGATTATAGGATCAGGATGGATAGCAATACTCTTGTTCAGTGCTGATGCCATGTATCTTGGTCTAGACAACGAGAAGGTAAAATACACACCAGCAGATACATGGCCTTGCTAAGCTGTATCACGCTCCCTAGTTTTAAATTTGCTTCAAGGCCAGTAGTTTTCATGGAGGCTATTTAAACCTCTCATTTTGGTCTTGTATATATTCTTCCATTTATCTTGTGAACTTTGATGATGAGTTTAGCATTCCTAAAGATTACATAAGAAGACAATGTGTATAAAATCCGCAGCCATCTAACACATCACCTTCATCTCATTGACCTCGCCTCACATTCATCTCGCTGACCTTACTTCACCTTTGCCTCACTAAGCCCTTCCTTCACCACTTTATTAGCATGAAATCAACCCATCCTTATTTTGGATGGAATGTAGAAAATATGGACTGTTGTACACATTTTGTACTATTAGAATTTTAAAGGACAGAACAAAAATTTAAGTAGACTAACCGTAAACCTAACCTGTCAAAACCCACATTACTCATACAGTATTACTATGAGTAATCCTAGGCCTAGATAAGCAATTTAGGCCTAATTTATTATATAGGTGTACTATACTAAGAATAGGAATAGTTAGGGTTTGTGGTTGCCTTCTTTTCTATACAAAATTATTAGTACAAAATTTGAACTTTTTAGGGCACAAGAAATTATATTTTGTCCTACCATCAATAACAGCAATAGGTACTACCATTTAAGTATGACAGGTTGCATTAATCACTAAGCACTGCGATTCTGTTAAGTTTGAGGGTACACATCTTAAAATAAAATTTATTTAATCCTTGGCATTTCTCCACATCGTTGTCAGCAATTTGTGGTCTCTTACCAATAGACTTATGCGATTAATCATAAAATAGTTGCCCCATTGGTTAAAGATATGTAATGTTCAGTAATTACCAAAGAACGAAGATTACTTCTGAATTTACCTGTATGCCACCAACATCATTATCTCTACTGGGACAGGAAGCCAGTGGTTTGCCAAAAGTTCCACCCCATTTTGACTGAGGAACTTATTCCTGTTGTATTTTGAACTCGAGCATTATCTTGGTATTTACTGCTTCAGCAGGTTGGTGATTCCATGGGTTAATTACCCTAAGAGGAAAAAACATTTCCTGTTATCCATTGTGGCTTGAAGCTATTGCTCTGTGTGGGTTACATATATATTTAATCCAGACCACTTCTCTAAAGGTTTGTCATTAAGTTTGTTCAGTACTGTAAAGATCTCAATAAGATCATCCCTGTCATGTCTTCTTTGAAGAGGATTTAATCCTGAAACACTCAACCTTTCCTTCAGGTTATCTTGAGATGATTTCGGGGCTTAGTGTCTCCCCGCGGCCCGGTCCTCGACCAGGCCTCCACCCCCAGGAAGCAGCCCATGACAGCTAACTAACTCCCAGGTACCTATTTACTGCTAGGTAACAGGGGCATCAGGGTGAAAGAAACTCTGCCCATTGTTTCTTGCCGGCGCCCGGGATCGAACCAGAGACCACAGGATCATGTGTCTAGTGTTCTGTCCGCTCAGCCACCGCGTGTTCCTAGTAGGAGAATTAACTTGGTTTTGGAATAAATTTTGTTACTTGTGTTCAACTTTTTCAAGTGCATTGTACTTTAAAGTTTAAATGGTATGTAAAAGAAAGAGCAATCTCTGTTTTTGTATTAGAAATTAAACAAAAATGAAAGAAAAACATTCGTTTGATTGTTTATTAGTTGTATTTATGATGGTATTCGATGTCTTGAAAACTCCTATAGCCAAGTACAGTATTGAGTTACAGTATTTGAGGTGGATATTGTTGAAGCAGTCAAGTCAGCAAAGGAGGCTGGTTGTGAAGCAAACCTTTCACACACACAAGGTAGGTGAGGTGATGGTGATGGACGAGTTTTGGAATATGTTTGCCTGATTTTAACATCATGTAGGCCATAACATGTTTACACTGATAGATGCACTCCCCAGCTTTTAGATATTCCTGGGATGATCCCATCTGTTTTTAAGAGGGGGGGGGGGGTCTCACTCTTCTGGTTTCATCAACTTGCAAATCTCATCTGGAGAGCTGTCAGGATGTGGCTCATTAATCTGTTACTTGCCACACAGTCTTACCGAGTAACGCAGACCTTACTTTCGAACTGGTCTTCTCTTTTTGGAGTTTAGTTCTGCATCAGCCTCCTAATTACAGTATCAGGTCTCTGGTACTTCCTGGTTAGTGGGTAATGCTCGTCTTCATTGGAAAATTGGTAACTTTTTGGTATTTTTAAGTCCTCGAGTGAAAGAAGACCTGTACTGTATTGTGCAATTTAAATAAAGTTTTGAATTAAATTTAATTTACAGCAGTATTTACAAATATAATTAATCGGATTGTAGCACTAAATTTATGTTAATTACTAATCCACAATATAAATGATTACAGTACATTTTTATTCAAAGAGTAACGTTAGAAAAGTTCAGTGATTAACTTCAGAATGAAAATAACTAAATTTACTTATTTCAAATTCATTTGAGATATACAGTATATAGGCTCTGACAACAGCACAGGCAGCAGGCCCAAGCTGTCAACTTACCGATAAGACTGTCATGTTCCACATGTGCACGAAACTCTACCCTTTGGTGGTCAGCTGTCATTCCTGGTAGTATGACAGTCATTTTCCTCGGACCTTTGAAGCCTAGTACATTGGTTTCCTGCAACATGGAGGACTTTGGTTAGTTCCTGCTGCAATAATATCCAGTTTTAATGGTTGCACTTTGACGAAAACTATGGCTTGCTATAAAAAGCTTTAGATTCTACTACTTTCAGAACTTGTATGTATATATATATATATATATATATATATATATATATATATATATATATGTATATATGTATATATATATATATATATATATATATATATATATATTTTATTAAATATGACCGAAAAAGTAAGATTAATAATTCTAACACGAATTTTCTCAATCTTTCGTACATTATGCTTCACTGTTGGAGGTAAATCAAAAATCACTTCTCCAAAATTCATTTTTATTTCTAGTCTGACGCGACACGGGCGCGTTTCGTAAAACTTATTACATTTTCAAAGACTTCACAAATACACAACTGATTAGAACTTGCGTTTCCCTGATTTTATATCTACATTTGAGTGAGGTGGGAAGGGTGATGTGGCATTACATTTGAGTAAGGTGGGAAGGATGATGTGGCATTAGAGGATATTAATAGGGTATTAAAAGTATCAACACAAGACAGAACACGAAACAATGGATATTGAATAGAAGTGTTTGTAGAAAGCCTATTGGTCCATATTTCTTGATGCTTCTATATTGGAGCGGAGTCTTGAGGTGGGTAGAATATAGTTGTGCAATAATTGGCTGTTGATTGCTGGTGTTGACTTCTTGATGTGTAGTGCCTCGCAAACGTCGAGCCGCCTGCTATCGCTGTATCTATCGATGATTTCTGTGTTGTTTACTAGGATTTCTCTGGCGATGGTTTGGTTATGGGAAGAGATTATATGTTCCTTAATGGAGCCCTATAAAAAGGGCTCCATTAAGGAACATATAATCTGGAGCCCTATAAAAAGGGCTCCATTAAGGAACATATAATCTCTTCCCATAACCAAACCATCGCCAGAGAAATCCTAGTAAACAACACAGAAATCATCGATAGATACAGCGATAGCAGGCGGCTCGACGTTTGCGAGGCACTACACATCAAGAAGTCAACACCAGCAATCAACAGCCAATTATTGCACAACTATATTCTACCCACCTCAAGACTCCGCTCCAATATAGAAGCATCAAGAAATATGGACCAATAGGCTTTCTACAAACACTTCTATTCAATATCCATTGTTTCGTGTTCTGTCTTGTGTTGATACTTTTAATACCCTATTAATATCCTCTAATGCCACATCATCCTTCCCACCTTACTCAAATGTAATGCCACATCACCCTTCCCACCTCACTCAAATGTAGATATAAAATCAGGGAAACGCAAGTTCTAATCAGTTGTGTATTTGTGAAGTCTTTGAAAATGTAATAAGTTTTACGAAACGCGCCCGTGTCGCGTCAGACTAGAAATAAAAATGAATTTTGGAGAAGTGATTTTTGATTTACCTCCAACAGTGAAGCATAATGTACGAAAGATTGAGAAAATTCGTGTTAGAATTATTAATCTTACTTTTTCGGTCATATTTAATAAAATATGTCTACAGGAAAGACTGCTACCAAAATATACTAATATATATATATATATATATTATAGGTCTGAATATAAGAACACTTCATTCAGAGAATCACTGGTCTAACCATTTCGGTCATATTCAATAAAGTGTCTCTACAAGAACCACTCTAAAATGTAAGAAAACCAAATATTTTATCTGCAGTGCAGATGGAGAGTTCTCAGAATTCTAGTCCTCCATGTGTGTAATCCTCAGAAATGGCTAGAAAACACCAAGAATATTGACTGATTCAGCGTATATAGCCAGCTTCAACCGGGCTTACATAGATGACAGCAGCCAGCTCCTGTCTCGAGCCAGCCTTCTCTACTGTGGTGGTGTTGGAGGTGGTGGAAGAGGAGGAGGAGATGGTCTTCTTGCGCCCCTCGCCGCCATCAAATATAGTAAACTGTGTCCCCAACAAATTTGACCGAAGTTTACCACAAAAGGATTCTCCCCCGCGAGACAGGTCTGTTGGGTCTGCCGAGATCAAATAGTTGGAGGTGGCTGACTTCTTACGTTTTCGGCCTGCTAGTAAGAAGACCTGTTGAATATATGTCAATTTTAGATCGGATAGAAATATAGTAGTATAGAAATAGTATAGAAGTTTCTATAGTAGATAGAAATCAGATAGCACTGATAGAAATACATCTAAAACTTAGTAATTTATCGAAGGAGAATACAGCATTTAAAATGTCACATTGAACGATTGAAAGAGGGGTGGTATGATTGAAACGCATTTTGCAATAGATAAACACAAGAAAATTTACATCCTAATTTGATATTCACTTCAGAGGCAGGAACTGATATTATATTCCAGTGGCGACTCTTAAGAGGACCCACGCGGGATCAAGTAAACATAATATTATCTAAATAGGCAATTACATTAATATATTGTGAAAGAAATCGAACCCTTAATTGAAAATGAGACCAAAAAATAAGCCATACTAGCCTTTTTCCCATCATCTCTCTCCATGTGCAGAAAGTAGGTGGGGAACAGACCACGGTCCATGCCCTTCCTATCCCTGGATATGCGGCACTTGATAAGGGAGCCCTCGGCCGCCGGTTCCACCACAAACTTCTCCACCTCGGGCCCGTCGTCCAGGTTCCCCGCTAGTGACGACGGGGCCTCCCCTGACCCGACCGATTCCTGCAGGAGTAACTCTTCTATAAATGGTGTTGTATTTAATCTCTTGGTCCCAGTTACAGCCCCGCTCCTGTGCCAGGTAAGTCCACTACGGGCTCACCATAGCTCGTGCTACTTGGAAGGTTTTGTTCCCAGTAGCTGAATCTTAAACAACAACAAACTCTTGATCTCGAACGGATCAAATTCCTTCGGGTCTGTATATACCAACAATGCTATTGATACCGAAAAAGGTAAATGGATAAACGCTCAAAACGTATTTGTAAATACAGACTTTATTACAGAATTCAAATGTGTTTAAATTATGAAATACTGAATAGCAATTTGAAAAACTAATATATCTGCCAATTCATGAAAAATTCATAACCCAAATTTCTTAACCTCACTGTCTTGTATATTATTTCACCTCTATACAAGACTTGGTGCCTTCTTTTGATATTTACTTGTCTATTTACAGTACAGTATAATTCTCTCTCCATTAGACAGGGGGGTCAGCATTATGAGGTCCTCCTCACAATGTTACATGATCATTCTTATGTAACATTCGGCCATGTTACATAATCATTCTAGTTTTCTGGGTTCGCAAGCCCCACATCGCTGTTAAGTGATCATTGTGTACAGTGATCACAGAACAACTTAATTCAAAATAATTCACTGTGTCGGGGGACAGGCAGCCAGAGTGTATTCATACACATTTTGTTGGCTTTTATCGAGGTCCCCGGGACTTAATGGGACCTCTTATGGGGTCCCGGTAGACCAGTCGGTCCCCATCCAGCCCCGGTAGTACAACTTGGGAAAGAAACTCCTTCACACTGCACGTGAGCACTTTCTCACACCTAACTCATTTGCTTTTTTAGCTGGCCCCCTCGTCCTATGTTCCTTTGTTTGGAAAAGACCCTCTTTCCACCTCGCATATTCCTGTAAGTTATAGGAAAGTGATGGAGTGGAGGGTGTGGGAGGGAGGCAGTGGTGGCAATAGTAAGAGAGAAGTGTACTCACAGCACTGTTAGGCCGGTGCCCCTGGTGGTCGTGTCCCTGCTGGCTGATGGAGAAGGTATGAGCCTGCGGGAGGACGACGGCGTGGGCGGGCTCGTCGGGCGACACTGGCGACGTGGAGTGGATGATGGGTGTCGACTCCTGATCCTCCACATCACCGTCAACGAAGCCGCTTAGCTGCAGACCCGCCAGCTTTTTCTCCGTCTCTGGCGGGTAACACCGAGAGTCACTCCTTCAATCGCCTTCACGTTGTCCTAACTTCCTCCCCGCCCTCCTTCACATCACGTCTCTCTAATAACTATGAAGGCTGCATTAAAGATCATATAATCTCTCTTTATTCCGAGTACAGATGATTCCAGAGTACATACCATGGAATAATTTTATAGCTCTCAACGATAACAAAAATGGGGGAAAAAATTATAAACTTCGTTCCATCACTGTTCACCTTGTGACAGATGCAGTGTCTGGAGGCTACACACACACACACACACACACACACACACACACACACACACACACACACACACACACACACACACACACACACACACACACGCGCGCGCGCACGCACGCCTCTTGTAAAGGGTACAGGGGTACTAAAATATGCATGTATATCGTACAGCGTAAAGAAGTCCCCATAGAGGAGTGGAACAGATCTCATTTTATGGGCTATTACTCCATCACCACACTTGCCAAATATCGTTCCATCGTCCGGGTATACAACATCTGTAATTAGTTTTTCCTTATAATGTTTCCGTGATTTTTCCATAGTGGCCGAATAATTGCGAGAGGCAGGACCTTCCCGTTCTACAGTCACGTTGACCTCGATTGTAAAGTTCATTGTTCTAAAAAAAAAAAGAGAAAAAACCTAGAGATCTGATTCTAATCACCGATTCCAAAAATTTAATTAAGTGTGATGTTAGTGCGAACGGTCTTAAAATTGTAGCCACACTTTGCTTCCTACCCTGTGAAGTGGAGTTTTATCTGCTGATATAAGCGAATATGGTATACTACCCGCATCCAAACATTGTCTCCATACAACACTGAGCGATTGTGCTACTGGTACTTTACATTTCTTTATAAATATGGAGTTCCAAGAGTCAAGACCCTGGGCCTGAGTGTATGGGCATGTTAATTTCTCTGGCTAATGTGCTCGTGCTAACATCAGTTATACTCCATTACACACAGAACTCACAATAGCGTGATGTATCAAATAAACAAATCCACAAGGGCCGTGACGAGGATTTGTTGATCAGTTATACTGTTCGAGTTTGGGATATTGTTCATAAAGCTGTTGTCCGGGTCTGCAACTTTGTTTACTACGGTGGTAAACATTGCCCTGGGCCATTCTTTTAGGATTTCATTTATTTCTCTGTGTACCACATGCAGGGTTGTATTGTTTGCTTGTGTTGGGCTGTAACCCGGAGCCAGGTGCTGGAACCCGTTAGTTTATCCAGCGCAGCGTGTATTTGGTGATGTGTATTGTCTCTGTTGTAGACATGGGGGACATCATGTGTGTGTGTGGTCGCGAGGGGCGTCATGGGGGGTGTATCATGTGTGTGTGGAGGGGCGGGTGTGGCGCAGTAGGGGCAGGTGTGGCGCAGCAAGGGGTGGGTGTGGCGCAGCAAGGGGTGGGTGTGGCGCAGCAAGGGGTAGGTGTGGTGCAGCAGGGGGGGGGGCTGTGTGGTGCAGTAGGGTGGGCTGGTGTGGCGCAGCAAGAGGGGGCGGGTGTGGCGCAGCAGGGGGAGGGGCTGTGTGGTGCAGTAGGGTCAGGTGTGGCGCAGCAGGGGGGATGGGGGGCGGGTGTGACGGGGTTAGCGAGGAGAAGGATGGTGGAGCGCCATTCCTCAAGCTGCGCCACGTGCTACTCAGCCGGCACCTGTTGCACGCCGCCTCGCCTTAAAATACGGAAGTATGCACACTGGGGGACCCCAGACCAGACGTGCTGGGATCCAGATGTGAACGGGTCTACACGTGCTGGGGTCCGTACAATTCACACATTTTTACCTGAATTTACCTGAAAATCACTCTCTCTCAAAAATGACACTGACGGGTACAGGAAGTCGGCGGCTTGTTAAAGGTCCCACTCCATTGCTTTTGAGGATTACTTCTATCCGGATTTTAAATCCTAAGTAATGTTTTGGTATTTATGACTCCGGGGAGTAGGAGAATAACAAGGAGGCTACGGTAATAACAAGGAGGCTACGGTAATAACAAGGAGGCTACGGTAATAACAAGGAGGCTACGGTAATAACAAGGAGGCTACGGTAATAACAAGGAGGCTACGGTAATAACAAGGAGGCTACGGTAATAACAAGGAGGCTACGGTAATAACAAGGAGGTTACGGTAATAACAAGGAGGCTACGGTAATAACAAGGAGGCTACGGTAATAACAAGGAGGCTACGGTAATAACAAGGAGGCTACGGTAATAACAAGGAGGTTTATAACTCTGAGGGAAAAAGCATATTCTGTTTTCTTCCCTATATTGTGGCTTGGTGAGCTTGAGCCTGTTGCCTTTCTGAGTGCTACCCTGGTCACTCCTTTGGTGAATGCGAACTCTGGGAGAACTCTTGGGTTTCTCTAGATTTAAATTCTATGCTATATATGCAATAATGTAACGTATTATTTTAACTATGATTATAGATTCTAAGTATGCTGTATTTGTATACATGTATAAATCTAGCATACGCTCATTATATCAAAATTATTTCCTTCTATGAACCAAATGTAGCCTACAGTCAATGAATTTGATTTCCAAATTGCTATGCAATATAAAAAAAAAAAAAGACTAAATCGTTAAAATATTAAAGTTTGCGTGATAAACATCCACAGAAAACGGCTCAGTTCACGACGTTCTCTGTGAAGACGTCATACAGGTAGACTTTAAAACATGAAACAAATTTTTTTTTTCCCGACGGCCATCGTCTATAGTGAAGATGAATGTGCAAAAAAGTGCTTTTAATTTTGGAGATATCGTAGATTATAAACACGAAGCGACGGCCCCCATAACGAGACCCGTTGCCTTAGCAGTGGGCGGAGGAGCGACCAGGCTATTAATAAGAGATCTGTCGTCGGGAGTCCAACCAGTTAAAGGGCGATACCACTACTGGGCCATCACAGAAGCTGAAATACATCAGGTTTCGAAATCGGAGATAATTACTCCCGCGGTATTCAAAGAAAATCACTATTACGGAATTCAGATTAGGCTTATACTGTCAAGCAATCAAGAGATAGGGACTCGCTGCAAATACAGGAAAAGCGATTATTAATTCGTAACTCATATATGGTTAATAATTACTTAAGATGATCATTTAATAAGGAGAAACATGTCAGTGATGAAATTGTCAAGCTGCTATACCTAACTCTCGTGTCGGTGCTAGGCCTACACCAACAATGGTTCGTATAGGCCTAGAAAAATGTTTTCAGAGTAGGTCTATACCCTGTCTCCTCCCCCATATGCATACACCAATACGACTCGCGTCTGTGCTAAGTATACAGAATTAGGCATTAGAAATACAGCTATAGCACGTGTGGCGAGGAAACAGGCCAACAAATCTCATTTAGAACTAAGAGTTGAGAATTTAATATTTTAAGAACAGTATAAAAAAAATTCTATACTAGATAAACACACAAAATTACATTTCATTGATACGTTACATCACCTACATATTACAGTGTCCACATCACCTACATATTACAGTGTACACATCACCTACATATTACAGTGTCCACATCACCTACATATTACAGTGTACACATCACCTACATATTACAGTGTCCACATCACCTACATATTACAGTGTACACAGTAATCTGAACATACATGCTGGCCATACAAGTATTTAATTCATACGTCACTTGTGTAGTTCATTCAACACTTTTATTTACAATAAAGGGATAAATACTGTGAGAATAAATAAGGATCCCCCCCCCCTAATAATTTAAATAAAATTGTTTTATCAGGATTCATGGGTTATTGCAACAAATAATTAGTCTTAGTCGAGTATCCTTACAATTGGTCAAAGGATTATTTATGTAACACGATACAATAGTAGAGTACAAAATGGATGGGCGGGTCGTCGAGAGGTTCCTCTTAAGGTTCGGGCCACTGGTCTTCTGAAGTCTTCTTCAGGTGAAGGAGGAAAATCGGATTCCAATACAGATCGCTGGCAGCTCCCCATTTGTTGCCTGAATATACAAAGTTACACACACACACACACACACACACACACACACACACACACACACACACACACACACACACACACACACACACACACACACATTTCTCCAGCATTACACCTCTCTCTCTCTCGTATTTAAAATTTATGCACAGTACAAAGATTTTCTATCTGCTCTTGTGAAGTTGGCCACGTGTTTTACTCCATGTTGTTCGTGCCTGATCAACAATGTATTTTCTTAAAACTAATTTATAAATTATATTATTCCAAACGTAATTTAACAAATATTTCCAACTACTGATATTTTGTTGAGAATGATGTTATGTTACTTTAGCCAATTCACACTATAATGCTGGGTAAGGTCGTCAGCCAACCTGTCCTCTTACATAAAACGTCCCATTTCGCTCGTATGTGTTACTAAGGCCAAAAATTGTCTTACTAGAAAGTGGAAGCGGCTCGCAAAAGTGACGTACTGTCCCGTTTTCTGTTTTGGGTCCTCTGACTTAGTCTGTTAAGTTAGGAGAGGACACTTTTTAAGTTTTCTTGACGTTTTAAAACCTTAGGAGGACGGGCTGCTTCAATGGCCAACACGCCTAGAGTAAGTGAAATGTGGGTGGCGTCTGCCGTAGACTTGTATAATCACCTGGGTGCAACTTCGCCAACTGTGAGCACTCCATTTGTGTAGTGTTCGAACAGGAATTGTGGTAATACTCTCCCGCTTGTGTGCACGAAGGTAGAAATGACGCAATAGTCGCCACTCCGGGAACATGTATCTGAAGCGTGCAGACAGCGGCGAAAATCAATATGATTCATATGTTGGCCAACTTACAATCATGTCAACTTGTACCATAACGAACATGATATAAGGTGATAATGACAATAAAATAAATTTTACCTCATAACTGGGATCACGTCCTGGCCGCGTATGAGAACGTGTGGTGGTGAAGACTGGCACTGACTGGCCACAGACTGGCCACACACACTCACTCACAACAACTACTCCGCTCAATACCGGCAAATGGG